AGTGGCTTGAGGGCTTAGAGGGCTACTCTATAGACTCAGAGGTTGAGAGTTCAAATCTTGTTTGAGCTTACTACTTTTCGGGGGACCAACACACAGAGGCACGACTGAAAAGCTTTTTGAAGATGTTCAAATTTTGTCTGGCTTGGTAACTCAATGGGTTAGACACCTGCACAGGCTTTTTGAGGTCATGGGTTCAAGCCCAGGTCAGTCTGTGAGGTTTCAAGTCCAACATCCAAAGTGTAATGTCAAAAGCAACTCCCAATGTGAGTGGGACTGGTGGTGTGGTGTAATTGTTCATAACCATAAGGCGGCAATTTCAAAGACTCTGGTTTGATTCCTGTCATTGCCAGTTTTGAGAGCACCACAGGGATGGGAAAAGATGGGGGGTTGTGAGACAGAAAATCAGCAGCATCGAGAGTTTTTATTATATATGGCTATTACACAGTCAATCAAAAGAGGCTGTGAGGGGCTGTGTGAAGGCTTAAAAGCTCTGGGTTTTGCCAGTAACATTTGCTCTTCACTTCAGTGTCTTGCATGTGAGTAGGTGTTACACATGTTTCAAAGCTGCAGAAAAAGCTGTAAATTGGACCTTAAGTTGAGGTTTTTTATTTTTTTTTGTTAAATCACATGGACATGGATATTTTCTCTATCTTTTCCTGACCAATTTGCAAGGTTTTGCATTTGCAAATTAATAACTTTGAAAGGGTTTTTTTTTTTTTTTTACATTTTTGGCTTGACATTTCTACAACATGTTGACCAAACACATGGTGGGAGAAGTGCACGCATACAAAGTCAAGTGAAAATGTTTAACTTTTGTGTGCATTTGTGTTTCTTTCACAGTGTTAACCAGGGTTTGTTACAGGAGAAGGAGAGCCTCATGTCAGACTATGAGAAACTGAAGGCTGAGGACCAGGAGAAGGATACAAAGCTGCAGTTCATAGTTGGATGGAGCACAGCTTAATATGTTTTGTCAATGTTATTTATATACGTTTTCTGTCCAGGCTGCTAAATGAAGAGAGAAGATGGGCCAGAGAAGACCTGAAGTGCACACAAACACGAATGAAATGTGGTGTAAAATTCCTGACTAAAGAAATACAGGCTGTCCTTCTCTCTGGACCTTTTGTTTTTGACTTTTCTTTGCCTTTTCCAATATTTCCTATCAATGATATCACCAGCTAAGATGTTTGAAAGTCAACACAGAAGCTTGAGCCTGTGGGGCTAACTCAGCCTGCCAAATTAGATAACTGTGAATAATTTGGTTATATTGAATTTGAGACTACTCACTTCTGATTTTCTTTGACATGACCCAATTGTTTGCAGCATGTGCTCCCATCCAATTGTTTGCAGCATGTGCTGCCTCCAAGCCAAGGTGAAAGGTAAGACTGTCAAACAGGAAGTGGGTGAATCCAATTTGATTTATGGAAGGGGGAACCTGGATCGTACTAAGCGGGGTAGAGAACAGAACAAATCAAAACAACTATAGGAAAGGGGTTCCGTTGTCTGGTTAAATAGCTCAGGGTGTTAGAGGACTGCTTTCAATTCTTCTTAAGTTAGGTGAGTTTGTATGTCCATGCAAACAGTCAAAGGCTGTAAGAAATAGCAGGGAATTGTCTGATCAAATAGCTCAGGCTGTAAGAAGACTGCCTAAGAGTTAAAGGACTGTGGGTTCGATTCTTATAAGAGGCAGTAAATTTATGAAGTCTAGCATCCAGATAATGACAATAATGACAGGGCGACGAGAACATACCTTTAAGTGGCCAAGTAGCTCAGGGTGTTAGAGGACTGCATGGAAACTCCAAGGTCGTGGGTTCAGTTCTTCTTCGTGGGTTCAATTCTTCTTAGGTTAGGTGAGTTTTGATGTCCAACAGTGGATGCAAACAGTCAAAGGCTGTAAGAAATAGCAGGGAATTGTCTGATGAAATAGCTCAGGCTGTAAGAAGTAGCAGTAAATTTATGAAGTCTAGCATCCGGATAATGACAATAATGACAGGACGACGAGAACATACCTTTAAGTGGCCAAGTAGCTCAGGGTGTTAGAGGACTGCATGGAAACTCCAAGGTCGTGGGTTCAATTCTTCTTTGTGGGTTCAATTCTTCTTAGGTTAGGTGAGTTTTGATGTCCAACAGTGGATGCAAACAGTCAAAGGCTGTAAGAAATAGCAAGGAATTGTCTGATGAAATAGCTCAGGCTGTAAGAAGACTGCCTAATAGCTAAGGGACTGTGGGTTCGATTCTTATAAGAGGCAGTAAATTTATGAAGTCTAACATCCAGATAATGACAATAATGACAGGGCGACGAGAACATACCTTTAAGTGGCCAAGTAGCTCAGGGTGTTAGAGGACTGCATGGGAACCCCAAGGTCGTGGGTTCAATACTTATGAGAGTCGGTGAATTTATGAAGGGCGGGGCATAGGAAGTGGGAGGAGAAAGGGGCGGGGCGAGCCAAACGGGGGGGAAAGGGGCGGATCGTGGGAAAGTGGGCGGAGAAAGGGGCGGGGTCTTGCAAGTGGGCGGAGAAAGGGGCGTGGCTAGGCGCTCTGGAACGCAAATATGGGCGTGGTTTTGCTAAATGGGCGGGGCAATGGGCGTGGTAAACGAAGTGGGCGTGACAATGGGCGGGGCGTATGAGGTGGGCGGGGCCTAAAATGGGGCGGGGCCCCTAAATCTGGACTCGCCACACGCGGGCTCGTGGATGGGCGGGGCCTGAAAGGGCGAGGTGGGATTGGGCTGGTGGGGGGGTAGGGGGGGTTCGGGGGGGTTGGGGTGGGGGGTTCGGGGTAGGGGGTAGGGGGGTTCGGGGTAGGGGGTAGGGGGGTTGGGGTGGAGGGGGGGGTTCGGGTGGAGGGGGGGTTGGGGTGGAGCAAGTGAGGTGGGAAGAGAAGAAGCAGGGAGACATAACACACTTCACTTTTTATTTTGATCAGTGCTTAACATATCACCACATTGATGTTATTTAACATGTTATGTCTAAAGTACATTCTTTTATTTGCTAAATAAAATTCATACATTCAACTTAACTACCATTCATCACATTTTAAATTTGTTCAAACACAATTGTATCGTTGAAGTTCCCACTACTGAAGAATCAACAACAGGTGTAACTAAGCTAGAATAGTGGTTTAGTTGAAGCATGAATTTTCTTTAGCAAGAAAAGAATGTACTTGTACAGTGAAAATCTGCCCTGACATGTTAAACCCAAAATCTAATCAATGTGTTGGCGTTCAATCCGGTCACTGGTCTGCGTGCCAGTCTGTTCCAGTCAGTTGGAGGTGGAAGGGCCGACTGCCAAAGAAGAAGTGGAGGGTTCCAGCTGCATTTATAGAGAAGAGGATTAGTGGTATAATCTTTTAGAGTTTTTGTGTGTAATAGTAAATAGTAAATTAGCAGAATCTATGAAATGAAAATGAATTGAGAAGTAAGATATGCTGACTTGAATAAAAATGAAGACTATTGAGTTTTCTGTAGTTGAATGTAATTTAAAATTTAATATGGATTTAAAGGCGGTACAGCAGAGGAAAATGTTGACATACCGTTGCAGCAGCAAAAAGACTTAGTCTAAAAGAGGCATGTAACCAAAGAGCAAGAATATAGAGTACAAATGTAAAGATTGTAAATGTAGGATTGCTTGCAAATGAATTGATATGAAGTTTGTAAAGATGTCACCTACGTGATGTGTTGTCCAGGTAGTCCAGCAAAGGTGACATGACAGGAGGTGGTCAGAGCTGAGGCCTGCTGATTGAGCCATGATCCTTATGTGAAAAATGAAGATGGATAGAAGGGTTAAATATGACACTCCTATGAATGATGATGCCCAAATGATATTTTTACTAACTAGTAAGAGTTTTGATGATTAATTCCAAGGAATAATACCAAAGCCAAGTGAAATTTGGATAAGAAGAGTTGTGGTAGATTTGGGGAAGTGTGATTTTTATTGAGAGGAAGAAGTGATGTCTATGATGTGAAATTACAGGTGGTGGTTTGTATGTTTTTTAAGGCTTGGAGGGTACTCTAAATTGAGATGAAAATGCATGTATGTTTTCCCAAATGGACAGTCATCCAGCTCCACCTGCTTTCATGGTCCTGACGCAGTTGAGTGTGATGTTCAGAGAGGGCCGTCTCCACCTGTAAGAAGAAATACATCAAAAATAGTAAAAACACTCATCTTGACTGTTTTGTTGTGGTAGAAATGTTTGAGCGGCAGTGATATGTGTAAGAAATAAGACTTACAGTGTGTTTTATTGATAAAAATTGAATTGATTGACTCCTGGTGATTGGTGGTGATCTGGCGCCATCTGGTGGTGAAAGGAAAAAAGGGCAAGATGTTAGCTTTAATTGCAGTTGAGTGTGATGTAGAATATAGAGTATAAATGTAAAGATTGTAAATGTAGGATTGATTGCAGATGAATTGATATTGTTGATGTGCTGTCCGGGTGGTTCAGAGGGTCCAAACAGTTGAGCAAAGGTGACATGACAGGAGGTGGTCAGAGCTGAAGACCAAGACTATTTGAGATTTCTGTGGTGGGATGATGGAGACATTCAATCCCAGCCATCAGTTTATAGAATGAGAGTGCACCTGTTCGGGGCAGCATCATCACCCGGATGTGCAAACTATGGACTGAAACACATTGGCGCTCAAGGACAAGGTGGCTTTGGTGAAGCATCCATCCGCTTCATTGAAAGAAACTTTGATGTGGATGATGTCCTGACTATTGTGTCAATAGAAGACGAAGCGATACAGTTAATCAGTGAAGTGAGACAGCTCTGCAGCACTGGCAAAGCGGCGAATCCATAAGTTCATTTGAAATATTCAGGAAGTGCTTGCATCAATTCCCAGGGAAAATTATGCTGAAAAAATAAGACATCAAGACTTAGCGTTGGCCTACATCTACAAGTGTGTCAGGTGTAGAAAG